CCAACTGCCTTAAACTTACAAAAAATCACACCCAAAGCTCTATTAGCAGACTTAGCTATTTCCTTAGCAGTAACATTTAAATCAAGATTCTCATGCACCCACATACCCAAGTACTTGTAAGCACAACAGTGTCGGCGACAAAGCACAACCTTGTCGTACACCCGAGTTTACATCAAACACTTCAGTGAAGCTATCATTAATACGAACTCGTGACAAAGTGCCCTCGTACATCGACTGGACTGCATGGAGAAACTTACCATTAATACCCAATTTCAACAATTTATACCATAAACAATTACGATTAACCTTATGAAAAGCTTTCATGGCATCAATAAAACAAACAAACGTAGATTGTTTAGATAACTTTCTGTTGTTAACAATGGAGAAGAGGCTATATAAATGTTCACATGTGTACTACGTGAAGAACGGAATCCATTTTGGACTTCTGCCAATAAACCATTAGCTTCTAGCCACTTGCTAAGGCGCATATTTAAAATGTCTCAATATATTTTACAAGGCACACATAATAGCGAAATGCCTCTATATCCCAGAGCATCACGTGCATCACAGTCCGTTTTCTTGATTGGGTAGATGATGCTGTTTTGCCAGAGTTCAGGACACACACCATTTTCAAAACAAAAGGTCATCAAGGTAAAAAGAAGTTGTATGCACGTATTATTTTTAAGAGACTCAGCTGGGAGCAGGTCAATACCAGCAGACTTTCCACGTTTAGCGCGTGCCATCGCGCACTCGACTTCTTGGAAAGTGATCGGCGAATTGAGATCAGTTGTGTCATACGTTACATCACATGTCGCAAGACCATTGATGATTTCATCCCGGATGTTTTGATAGTGAATGTCATCGTGATTCGGCGATGTTGAGTCACCAAAAAGAGAGGAATAGTCTTGTTTCCATTTGTCCAGAACAACTGTTTTATCAGTACAAACATTGCCATTTAGCTCCACCTCCCAGGGAATCACAGTAGTCCTGTCGTTGGCGATACCAAGTTTACCGATCTTTCTCCAGAAACTCCGGGAATCATTGTCATTACACTTATCTAGTAATTTCTGTTGTTCAGATAACTGATGTTCACGCTTATGTTTTCGTAATAGTTTGTCAAAACATTTTCTCTCCACAACATACAATTCCCTGAGGCATTTACGCCTTCTGGTACATTTACAAGATAAAAAGTTCTTCTCACACTCACATGCCTTATCCCATTGAAGCTGCAGCTCCTCGCACCAGTATGGTTTATACTTGGACTTGGAGCTAGATCGAGTAAACGCTTTAGGTTTGGCAACCTTGTCCAGTTCTGAGTACATGAAATTTAGAAAATCCCTGTAAGCATCATTGATGTTTCTTGCTGTGGCAGGTTTTGTTTCAATATTTCTAATTACAGAGTTTATCCTTCCCAATAGTTCATTTTCCTGCAGAAACTGGTTGGAAATCTTATTGGCGTTGTACCGATCAGACTTGTTACTCGAGATAACGTCATATTTATCCTTGCTGGGAGGAAGCAACATTTCCCACGTAAGAACAGAATGATCGGGAATATTTACGGGGACGTTGGATCCATCAATGATGTCCGACATTTTTATCACATTAAAATCTTTAAAATACTGCAAATGCTCATGCGCAGTCATGACATAATCTACCACCGATGATCCGTTCCTGATGCATGTGTATTCCTGACTGCCCAGTCTACCGTTCAATACACACAAATTAGCTTCCACCAGGAAATCCAGGAACAGCTGACCATATAGGAATTATCTTTGTGATCAATTACCTCTCTCTCTGGTACTCCATCCACACCCTGAACATAGTCCAGGTGATTACTTATCCTGGCATTAAAATCACCACAGATACACAATATTCCTTCATGCTGGAATGGGTACAGCTTTTCGAGTAGCGTATTAAAGAATAATTCCGCATCATTTGCCTGGGTTGATCCCAGGGGTGGTAAATAGCAAACACACAGCACAATATTAAAACTATTATCACTGAATGGAATTAACTTTAGCCACATGATGTCGTCGTCTTCACGATCCAATACTTCCACTCTAAATGACTCTAGTAGAGAATTTCTTATAAAAACTCCAACTCCACCAGAGCCTCTCCTAGCACGTTTACTGATTTTTAACCTGTTATTTCCAAACCAGGTATACCCGTCTAGTGCAATACTTGCAGAGCCCTGTAGAAATGTGCCACAAACACCAAACACATCATAATTTAAATGACTAACTACATGTTCACGGAACTGACTATTATCCAGATCTCGTTGTGCCCAGCCCCCTACATTCCAGAGTCCAAGCCGCAAAGGATCCTAGGCTTTGTTTTTGTTAGCAACCAACCGGTTTCCATGGAAACGGAATGTTTTCTCTATTCCTATTTCCTTGATCAACGTTTGCATATTGGCCCTTGCAATAAGATCCTCGTTGGAAAGTGCACCGTCGATATACACCCGAGAAAAGTCTTTGGTATTCTTCAGATTCTTTTTATGCTTTAAGAGTTTATTTCTCTCTTCGTAGATGTTCAGTACACAAACAACCACACCCGGCTTCGTGTCAGTGCGAGTCTTACGAGTCGCACTCACAACCTGAACGTCTTTCAGTTTTAGTCCGTCCCTTATTACCTGATGTACTCTATTACAGAGCACCTTGGGGTCATCTGCTTCTCGTCTACCAATAGGCAGATTCCGAACAATGACACTTCGCTGTACTTCACTTACAGGGATGCCTCCGGCCTCCAGCTTCTCCAACCGATGCTCAACTGAAGCCAGCTGATTTGATTTACCTTCCGACGTGATTTCCAGCCGATTTAATTTCTCTGTTAGCATCTTTATCTGCACTTCAAAGTCATTTCTTATCCTCAACATTTCTTGCCTCAGAATGTCAGTCATTTTTTCGGTCACTCTCTTTTCGCTGTCCTTGAGCTCTTGACGAAGATCCGTGAAACTATTATGCATTATGCAATAGCGTTCATAAGCTCAAAGTTAGAAACTGCAGTGTTACTGTCCTGAGTGTCCTTATTTTCAGAAGCTGTCTCAAAAGCGTCATCTTTTATTATCTGTTTTTAGCTGCTGACGGTTTACAAAAAACACTCTTATTGCTTTCACTGGTGTTAGGCATCAGCACTGCCTGTACATATTCAGATGAGTCCATCAATGCGTTGTCTCCCATTTTCGAAATGTCACACTAAAAAATTCTCAAATATATATTTTTGAGCAAAACTTCACCAAAATATTGGTTGGGACTGTCAATAGTGATTACAAATAGCAGTAGCAACTTGTTTTTAAAGTACCTTGCACGTAGGATTAGTATATGACATCTAACGCCGGGGATAATAAAACCTTTACTGAGGACCTCAACACTTTCTACAGCCGCTTTGATTGTCACGACTTTACCAATGAGAGAGCTCAAGTTAGTGAAGCCGTACATGATAGTGAAAGTCGTATCCATATAATTAACATCTGAAAAGCAAAAGGACCTGACAACCTTGACGGCATTGTGTTGAAGGAGTGCAGACTTCAACTGTGTACAGTTTTCATTAGATTGTTTCAATTCTCAGTGAATACACACGTTATTCCTTCGGTCTGGAAAACATCAGCAATTGTACCAGTTCCTAAAAAGACACAAACTAAAGAACTCAACGACTACAGGCCAGTTGTTCTCACATCTATAGCAATGAAGTCGCTGGAACGCATCTTGTTGAGACATCTCCGTCAGGAAGTTGCCGATGTACTGGACCCGCTTCAGTTCGCCTACAGGTCAAGGAGAGGAGTTGTTGATGCCACACTGTCACTCCTTAATAATGTCTATAAACATTTAGAGACACCTAAGTTCAACATCAGGATCCTCTTCGTTGACTTTTCATCTGCGTTCAACACTATCCAGCCACATATCATGATACAGAAACTGTTAGACATGGGCGTTAACTCATACATCATCAAGTGGATCGAAAACTTTCTTGTGGACAGACAGCAGTACGTGAAAGTTAACGGGGCTGTATCGAGTAAACGGACCACCAACACTGGTGCACCACAAGGCTGTGTAATATCTTCTGTTCTTTTCACCCTCTACACTAATGATTGTGCAAGCTCGAATTCAACCTGTTCAATTGTAAAGTTCGCAGATGATGCAGCAATTGTCGGCAAACTGAACGACACTGATTCTGAAGAACTGTATAAAGAGGACATTAATCATTGTAAGACTTGGTGTGCAGAAAACCACTTACTCTTAAATGTCACAAAAACAAAGGAACTGAAAATTGACTTTCGGAGTAAACCCACAGAAATGCTTCCAGTGATAATCAACGGTGAATGTGTTGAGACAGTGTCAGAGTATAAGTATCTGGGAACCTTCATTGACTCTAAGCTGAACTGGAACTCTAACACTGAAGCTCTATACAAAAAGTGTCAACAACGTCTTCTTCTCATGCGTAAACTGAGATCTTTTAATGTTAACCCGTCTGTGATGTCATCTTTTTATGTAGCATTTATTCAGAGTATTTAAACATTTTCCTTCCATTGTTGGTACGGGTCTCTCTCAGTTCATCTCAAATCTAAAATAGACAAAATTGTTAACACTGCAAGTAAAATCGCTGGAGTCAGATTTGAATGTTTATCATCAATATATGAGCGGCAAATCGTGAATCAAGCTGTCAAAATCATATCTGACCGTACTCACTACTTAAATTCGGAATACAACCTCCTCCCTTCAGGCCGCCGCTACAACTGAAAACTAAGAGAGCCCGTACATCCTTTATTCCAAGTACCATATCTCTCTTAAACAAATGTGAAGATACCTAAATCAAAGAATTTATGTAAATATGTTTGGTATCTCTCTAATGTGTCAGTAGCTCTGCTGATGTAACACAAATTCCTGAAAAGGCATTAAAGTATTATTCTATTCTTCTATTCAAACACCTTTATATTTCTATTTACGTGGTTACTTTAGCATGCAACTTTAAAATTAAATATCTAATAAGGGCAATGCAGTATAAAAACGGGCTTGAAATCACCAGCAACTGACGGTAGATGTGTACTTACATTTCGCGACGACATTCACGTTGTCTTCACTGCGTTGTGCCCCGTAGCCCGCTGACACCATAACCTTGTATTTTTTGTCGGGGTCAAGGCCAGTGAGGTCATATGATGTGTCATCTTTGGGCACGGAGACCTCATGGACTGGCCCTGAATCCGACTGGTAGCTGACCAGTATAACTGTGCGTTCGTGGCAAGCAGGGGCGTGGTCCCACATAACACGGATAGATGTTGAAGACAATCGTTTGGTTCTCAGGTTTGAGGGTGGTAAGTCTGGTGAAAGATCAAAACATTTCTGAAACAGCTTTACTGTTGTTCCGTAAGATCAAGTTTTGCCTCTTTTTGCAAAATAGATTCATTACGGTACTTCAAGTCAGTCTACATCAAATTTGGAGGGACGTAAAGACGGGGTAGTATCAGCATTTGTTGATTACTTACAGGTCGTGGTACCGTTTAGTTCCAACAGCTTCGTTACCTATGAACAGAAATTGTCAGAATGAACACACCAGTGCAGTTTGGAATACGCGCCATCAGTGGCTCTTATGAGCTATGTCCATTGTATGTCTCTCCAATTAATTTCACCTTATCTGCACTTGCTTCAAACAAAGTATCTGGCCGATAATCAAGATTTATATTGACTGTAATAAAACAGGTCTTATAGTTACTTTGCGAAGTGTATGAAAGTACTTAAGAGCCCTGATTAAAAACACAAACAGATCTGCAAAACATCTGTCGACGCCCATTGGACAGTTGACATGTTTTGCAAAATCTCCAATCGATTGAAATCTGCACGGCATTTCATGAACCGGATGTCGATTTCGTTACGCAATTTTGATTGGACAATGCATAGACTCGTCAATGAGGCCAATACAAGTCAACTCCGTCTTGTATGGGAACTGGACTTTTAAAGTCAGTTACCTCCCTTATCTCGAGACTTTCACAGTCAGTTATGTCACTTCTCTCGAGACTTCTAAAGTCAGTTACGTCCCTACTCTCGAGACTTTTGAAGTCAGTTACGTCCCTTCTTTCAAGATTTTTGTAGTCAGTTACGTCCCTTGTCTCAAGATTTTTGTAGTCAGTTACGTCCCTTCTCTCACGAAGATGCTATGGAAATAAGGTATTGCTGACAGACGTATAGATAACACCCGTGCAATCTCTCGAAGAATGCCAATTTCCGGCAATCTTCTATGGATACTCACCACCTGTTCCTCATATGTGGAGCTCTTCAGCCCCGCCCTGTTGACAACGCGCACCTGCAGCCGAACCTGGGCAGTCGCTAGGGCGTTCTCGGCCACCATCAGCCAGCAGTTGCTGATGTAGACTTTGTTGATCCGTTTGTAACACACGTTCAGGGCGTTGGGGCAGTAGCAGTCGTGTACCCTGTCTGTGCAGTAAAGCGGCTGAAATAATAACATCATGTTTTATTCAATCACATATATCCCCATGCATATCAGACTAAGGAATGCCATTACCGTGAAGATCAGGGTTACCATGCTTGTCGTAAGAGGCATCAGCTTGTCGTAAGAACGATCAGGTGGTCAGTTTCGCTGATCATGACTTTGTAGATGCATATCATCGCATTCCTATTGCGTAGATCGATGTTGATGATGTCAGTCACTGGATTTTCTGGTCCCGACTCGATTACTTTAATACGCCGTCATATAGCTGGAATATTGCTGCGCGTGCTGTTCCTGAGGGAAATGCCTGAGGCTCCAGTCATGACAGAATTCTATAGAATGATTTATTATACTTAATAAAGATGCCTGAGTCGAATTGGTTCCAGAACTCATGAACAGTACAGTCAGTGAGTGAGTGAGTGAGTTTGTTTAGTTTTACGCTGCTTTTAGCAATGTTCCAGCAATATCACGGCGTTGGACAACAGAAATGGGCCACGTGGGGAATCAAACCCGGGTCTTGGGCGTATCGAGCGAACGCTTTAACCACTAGGTTACCATACCGCCCCGCATGAACACTATATGTAACGGGATCGGGTGGTCAGGTTCGCTGACCTGGCTGAACATATGTCATCATATCCTAAGTGCTCATGAGGTTGATTTACAGATCGTCGCCATAGAGCTGGATTATTGTTGACTGCGGCGTATTTCAACAAACTATTTCATGTCACTGTAAATGATATTTTCATCTTGGAAACCAACTGTTCATAAAATCACCATGGCATTGGCTTTTAAGCACTTTGGCCGATAACACAAAAACATATGACTCACGTGGATAGATGGAATGGATACATTGTTTGTTCTCAGAAGGCTGCCATCTTCTGTATTGAAGACCTTGACCTCAAGATGGTCGAGCCCACTCTCTGCATCGTGTGCGGTCACCGTTAAACTGCGAACAGAGAATGTTATATATAAAAGGTGAGGTGAGGTGAATTTGGGTTTATTTCGCTCATATGACGACGTGCATGCGTGTGTATGTGTATGTGCGACTGCTTGTACTAGCCCAGCCTGAAGCTGGTTTTATAGTGCTAGCCCACTGAGATACCATGCCGCAGGGAAGCATGAATACCCTACTCAGACACATTATACTGACTCCGAGCCGACCAGTCCTTGGTGTACCCATTAATGCCGAGCGTCAGGCAGGGACCAACAAGTACCATATTTAACGTCTTTTTGGTATGAAGCGGTCGGGGATGGAACCCGCGACCTTCCGCTCTCCGAGCGGACGCTCTAACCGCTACACCACGGAGGCGGTCTATATATAAAAGATAGTCTTTAGAGGTATGACTGGAAAGTCGAAAGATATATATGTTACTATGTACTTACATTGTAAATATCACTGCTGATACTTCAGCAATATACATGTAAACGTTGTTAATATACCACACCTTTGGTTTGTTGTTTTGTTTGTTTGTTTGTTGTTTCCCCTTTACATTTTGTAGCTCGTTCCATGTGTCAAACAGACGTTTTTCGTTGCACGGATACAAATTAACTGATAAACATAAGTTGATTTTAGGACGAAGAACACGGGCCAATAAACAGGAAATCAATTTGGAATTTTGCAAAAAATAATGAGTAATTAGAGATAGAAATATTATAATAGTTGTAAAGAGAAAGTCCTATTATCTTTGATACTGTAACACGAAATGAAGCTCATAACATGAAAAAATATATAAAGAATCAATACATTCTGAATGAAAATGTGAAAAATACTTTCTTAAAAATCTGAACATGCGAACTTAACACAGATCTTAGATTCTACAATAGTTCTGCAAAAGAGGGTCACTCTGCAGTCAGGCCAAGTTACAATCTCCTTTCTCTTACCCGGAACTGAAGGGAATGTTGGATTTTTCATTTTTGTGGAATGCCATCAAAGTGAACTGTGGTTCGGTGAAGTCGTAGGTTACACTTGTCGAGTCGACTTTCCTGTTGTCAAGGATGTCCCGGGCTCTTACCCACACAGTAACTGTGGTTCCGCTTGTTACACCAGCTGAAGGACAAAAGACTCGTATGGTATTGGTAACGCAAACACGTCCAGTATATGCATAATTTGTAAAGAAATGTCCCGCTGAACCGACCCGTGAAGATCCGGGGTAGAATAGGTCTTCAGCAACCTATGCTTGCTACAATAGGCGACTATGCTTGTCGTAAGAGGCGACTAACGGGATCGGGTGGTCAGGCTTGCTGACTTGGTTGACACATGTCATCGGTTCCCAATTGCGCAGATCGATGCTCATGCTGTTGATCACTGGATTGTCTGGTCCAGACTCGATTATTTACAGACCGCCGCCATATAGCTGTAATATTGCTGAGTGTGGCGTTAATCTAAACTCACTCACTCACTCACTCCTGCTGAACCATATCATTTTATCAAATACACATACATTAACTTTTTGTCTTATTTGTGTCATGAAATCCGTAAAAGAACAGATGAATTGTTTAATGAATTGTGCTGGTTATTTCCAGAGGTTATCTGTCCACAAACACTGGACAATGCCAACACGAATAACTTATGACCCCCTCACATGCCCGAGTACCTTCAGATGCACACTATGAATTAAAACGAAAACGGGTCTTTTGCGTCACACATTTGACCAGACGCAAAAGTTTAAATATCATTTGTCCGACCTTACGAAAACACTACTAACCAACAATAACATTACAGAATACTACCAACCAACTGTTGACTGCTTTGTTGTGTTCAGACCGGAGATATCATTCCAGTTTACTGGTGTGTGAAGCGGTCTGCCTCCACTCTTGTTGACGGCATGCGTCCACTCAAACCTCACAATGCCACGTACATTGGGGATAGCCGCTCTGGTTCTTCTGCCATAATGATCATCATTTGTATGAGGTACTTCCTTGTAGATGGGTGGGTCTTCTACAACCTTCACACGGAAGGGGAGGATGCTGTTCAGGAATTTACCACTTTCATGGACGTAGTTCAGAAAATGATCTTGCCAGTTGGTGACTAGTGGCGTGGAGGCATCGGTCATCCACTGGAAGCCATGGTCTTGCACTGCTGATGATATGTACAGGGCATGGTCTGGATCAGTCGTAACAGATGACTCCTTGTCGTATAGAGCAAACCTTCTCATGTATACAGAGTTATTGGCCTTGTCGGCTGCTTCAAGGACGAAGGAATACATCCCTGGTCTGTCTGGGGCATAGGGAAGAGGATAGGAAATTGGATCGGTGTGGTCAACTTGTCTGTGAACAACAGGTCTCAACTTGTCAACTTCCATCAAGCTTCCGTTCGGACTGGGTTCAAGTTTGAAGGCTTCCCATGTGTACTTGTCCAATCCAGATTGTAAATCTCTCCAACCATCCCATTTTATGTTGATTGGTTGCTATTTAAGGACAAAGAAAACCAATGCAACTCATCCATCATCTAAAAATATACCGTGAAGCTAAACTCTTAGAGACATGCTGATCCAAAGTTTCACAAATGTAGAATATTTCTTGAAAGCTAATTCACATCGCATAGACAACATTTTTCAGTGAAATCAGTATGTAAATATCAGAATATTTTGTAAATACTGCTCTTGCAAAAACATAATATATGTCATAACATGCACAGGCTGTAATGAACAGTATATTGGTCAATCAGAAAATTTAAGAGCCCGGGTTCGTGTCCACAAACAACAAATAAAGTGTCGTGAAACCCGACGTATCCCACTGAGTGAACATCTAGATGTCTGTGCGAAAGGAAACGTTGTTAAATTTACAATATTTCCTTTTTATCAAGTTCAAAATTCGGACAAAGTAAAACGAATTTTAAAAGAACACTACTTCACAGACAAGTTCAAACCAATGTTAAACCATTGCAAGCTGTGACCTTGTCGCTCTAGAATGTTGTCTCTATTGTGACGTCACAATATATATGTAATGACGTCATACTGTAACCGCTATAATCTCCCTGAAGAGTAAAGAACGAAACATGTTGGAGAAAAAGGCATTCTGTTTTTATTTATCTATGTAATATATATATATAACTCTGTAGTTATGCATGCAATGAAAACTGTTTCATATTGTAAAATGGTTAGAAAACAAACGACATTTTGATAACAAAGGGAGGAATGAACGAGTTCTCATGTAAGGCTCTTGATGGAGATGAACATTATTACTCAAACAAGACACCTTTAGAACATCTGATTATTTCATATCACTATAATCAGTCATTGCATGCAAGGGTGCGGTGGGGTAGCCTCGTGGTTCAAGCGTTGGTTTGTCACCTCGAATACCCGGGTTCGAAAATCCCAATTCTGGTGTCCCCTGCAGTGATATTGCTTGAATATTGTTAAAAGTGGCGTAAAACTAAACTCACTCACTCACACATTGCATGCAGGATTAACTGTTTACTGGCTAAGGATATATTATAGTATTACTTACTTTTGTGAATTCTGGGTGAACCTGAAAGGCATCATTGGGGTCGTTGTACACAGGTTTAGTCATGTCAAGGTGGAAAGATACAGTGCTGGTAGCCTGAGTGCCGGTATAGTGCTGCGTGGCTGAAGCGCTTAATCCGGTCAGTCTTCGATAGCCACCACTTGAAACGTGGAAGGTCAACTTTAACCTGAACAGAAACAGTTTGTCTTCGATCATAAATTGGAATAAACATGTATATGACGATTACCATGAAAGTGATATGGGGGATATGTAAAATGAACCACAAAAGAAACGTCGCTTTTCAGAACCAAAATGCAAGATTTTGTTCACACAAAATGGTGTTTTATATTATGATTGTATCGTTTTATTAACATGTTTTTCAATCAAAATTGACAGTTATTACCAACATCAGTGTGTTTTCGGATGAAAAACCATATCGACCAAACGCACCTAAAATGGCAGACGTGGTAAAAGGTTCCGTATGACATTCGTGAAAATGAAAATGCACGTGCATATAGTGACAATCCTACCAATGAAAATGAGTCCTAAACTCGCCTGAAATCATTTTTTGTTTTGACACAATCGCCATGGCACGACTTACGAGAGATCAGAGGAACCAAGTCTTGGGACGATTGCAAGTTGGCCAGACTGCATGGAGGGTAGCCAATCATTTTAATGTTCCTGTTTAATGTTCAGTCTGCCGACAGCAGGAGCGGTATCAGGTCACTAACAGCATCCAAGACCGTCCACGCAGTGGGCGACCTTCAGTCACATCACAACGTCAAGGCCGACACCATCTGCAGGATCGCTTCCCCAGAGCGACGGAAACAGCACGCCAGACCATTGGGACCCACAACAGACCCATCAATGCCGATACAGTGCATCGACGTTTGCGCGGGAGAAACCTCTGCTGTCACAGACCATATCGTAGTCCTGTCCTCACCGCTAATCATCACTAAAACCGACTGCAATGGGCAACTCAGCATCGAAATTTGCGTTATCGACAATTGAGAACTGTGCTTTTATCTCATGAAAGCCGATACTGTGCTTCGACGGTCGATGGCAGAGTGAGAGTATGGTGAAAGCGTGCATGGGGAACTGTTTTCCAATAGAGTATTGTTGAAAGAGACTTATGGGGTGGTCCAAGCATCATGGTGTGGGGCGCAATCGGTCTGAACCAGATAGTTAGCACCGTGTTGTTCAAGAATCTCGGTCCAGGATGAGCAATTGACGTGACAGCTGCTTGCTATATTGACCAAGTCATTAGACCCCACGTTTTACCACATTTTAGACATTACAGAAATCACATCTTCCAGCAAGACAAAGCTCGTGCCCACACTGCCAGAGTAACATTGGGCTTCCTAAGACAACATGGCATCCAAACCCCACAATAGCCTGCACTCAGTCTTGATTTGAGTCCAATAGAACACCTTTGTACAAACGATGCAACGCTTTCATCGATGCGCATAGAGACCACACACAATACTGACTTTCGGGTATCTTACTGGTACCTTTTTTGGTCATTTTGTTTGTGTGAACTCTAAATGTGATTCCCGAAATGTGTTAACCATAATTGTCAAGTTTGAACTCAATCCTCCGTTTTGATTGTTAATTTGAGTGAGTTAAAGTGTGTGCTGTAAGAAACCGGTATCAGTGCGACATTTCTTTTGTGGTTCAGTATATATGTAGTATTAGTAAAATTTATATATTTTCTATATTTGCATACTTATCCTGCAATTCCTACTTTCTGTATTTATTGTTTACGACTCGAAACGAAGAACTGCGATCAGTTCCTGGACCCTGTTCCCGAAAGCGATCGTAGCTCTGCGACAGTTGTAAGCGTATGTTAAAGTATGGGAGTTACGATCATCTTAGCGCTACGATCGTTTTGAGGAACGGGACCCTGGTCTCGAACGATCATTCGTCTGCACACGCGTCGCTGATTATTGCTTTTCGCACGCCTCGTCCTCGTAAGACATGTGGTTTGCCCGATTGATTGTATCCTGTGGGTTTGTGTTTATTCATAAAGAATTTTGTAGTTGTTTTCCTTTGTCCTACGGAAAATGTACGTATTACGCTTCTCTTTCGTTTAGACAAATAGTACTGCTGTAGTGATGGTGTGTGCTTATGTCAACGTGTAGATATGTGTCTACAGGGGAACTGGCTCGGAATTAAGACGGAGTGTACGTTGACGAAGACGAAGGAAGACGTTGAGTTCAAACTTCTTTAGTTGACTATAAAATACATGATAAACAAACTCAGCAGCTCACCATCCCCTAAAGAAATTGACCTTCTGCCTTGTCTTTCTTCCTACGAAACACAAACACGACGACGTCAGGAAAAGAGTTGTTCCGGAAAAAAGGAAGATAAACTCTAGTTCACGCTTTTAACTGCATTTCCCTAAAGCTACCAATGCTTCAAAATCCAGTGGTCTTTTCCCATTTAAGTCTGTATGTCTTTACCCGTGAAGGTCCGCGTTATATTGATCTTCAGTAACCCATGCTTGTCGTAAAGGGGCGACTAACGGGATCAGGTGGTTTGGCTGACTGGAATATTGCTGCGTACGGCGTAAAACTAAACTCACTCACTCTATATGTCTTATATGCGAATTACTACTGATTGATCGTCGCTCGCTGTCAGCTCTTATTTCATGGAGAACAGCGCCTTTCCATCAACACCGCGCACTGGAGGACACTGACTGAGCTGGGTTTGATAAAAAAGGACGAGCTTTATGGATGAACATCTTTATTCAGGTGATGTGATGTTTCGATTCATATTCTTGTATTGTTGTCAAGCAGACATGAATAGGGTGGAAAACCGGGTTATATATGCAGTACATAATTAACAAAAAGGATAAGAAGACAATTGAGAAGTGCAGTAATAATGTGATGACAAGGGATTACATCTAGAAGCCGGTGGGTTGTACAGAGCAGGAAAAGCTGCGCCTTATTGCCAACCTCGACCCTGAGTTATTCTCCTCATTACGAACTGCTGGGACGACCGCAAACAAGAAACTCGACGCATCTACTAAGACATTGCGTAAGTGGTCCAAGACCATGCTGAGATTCCAAGTGGGTGGTTGAAACTTCGAAATTCCAATGACAAAACATTATTCACTTTAAATAACTCTTAAAGTGAAGAATTCGTGTAATCTTCCTGCCATACCACTGGTTGGATTTTAAATGAATAGGTTGAAAATATTTGAAGAACCCAAGAAACGTGAGACTATAACATCTCTATCAAATTGAAAATGTAAGCACAATGTTTTAAGATCAAAGTTGATCATTTGTATATCAATATATGATTGTGAAACTCTTAATACATAGTAAAGGGGATATATAAATGAAATAACCTTGAGAAAAGCCCCACACAAATAGATCCAAATAGGCAAACTTTATGGATAATAACAGTTACTTCTTTATTACGAGAGTGCCACGTTTCGATACAGGTTCTTGTAATGTTGTCAAGCAGTCATTTCTGGTTGACAACGGTACACGAATCTGTATCAAAACGTCGCACGAAACGTGATGAATCTACGCAAACCGATCTCGTTAAATCGCCTCTTACACAAGCATAGCTTACTGTAGATCACCTTACGAGGATCTTCTCAGGTCGGGTCAGTGATGATAACAATCGATAGGGGGACGACTCTTCTTGGAGGTTAGGGAAAGGAGCGAGTGTTGACGAATGCTCACCATCACGTCATGACTTTTTTGACAAGAAACAAATATTATCAACACGTTGCCAAATAGACATGTTGAGGGTATTGTTCAAGGAATGGGATGAAACCGACAACGATGTCTGAGAACGCACTTCCGTATACCTAGAGATAACATTGATGTATTTCATCGATTTCATATATCATTCATGTTTCATCTCTACTGAATAGATCACTGGATTGTCTGGTCCAGACTCGATTATTTGCAGACCGCCGCCATAAGGCTGGACTATTGTTGAGTGCGGCTTAAAACTCAACTCATTTAATCTCTACTGAATATTCCCTGAAGATCCGTTAGATGTCTTCAGCAACCCATGCTTGTCGTAAGAAGCGATCGGGTGGTCAGACACGCTGACTTGGTTGACACTAGTGGTGGTCCGATTAATTGAAATAATCGAAGATTGGTCGTAGTGACTAAACGACCAAGCAATCGATCACAATTTCTCATAATCGAACACGAACTATTCTGGAACACTTGTTTTCATTAACAATATTTTTCACATGGTTGGTTGTGTCTGTTACATTTCGTAAGCATTACAAGCTCGTTTCCAGTCATGATTGAATTTATCTTAAAGATTCCAAGAAATTTATGTTCCTAACATACTAGTCATCCTTTAAAGATGTGAAATTTTGCCAAAAGAACTACTTGTTTTTTTCCTTATTTTTATGTGCATTAACAAATTTCATAAATGACGCTTACCAATTTTTTTCGATGATTGATCGGTAGTAATGAACCAATCATCAATTATGAGATTTTAACCAATTCCCAACACTAGTTGACACATGTCATCGCATTCCAAATGTGTAGATCGATGCCAATGATGATGATCACTGGATTGTCTGGTCCATATGGCCGCCATATAGCTGGTATATTGCCGCACGGCGTTAAACAACAACCGAACCAAACGAAACTCTACTGAATAACGATACTACAGACAGTGAGAGATACCTCTAGATTATTTTAAGGGACCTACCTCTCGCCCTCATTCAAACGGGAGATATCATTTTTCGTAAAAGAGCATTGGACCATCTCCTTCGGATTCTCGGGGTCAACGGCTTCATCACATGGAAACTCATCGTCTTCAGATCCTAAAGTGGGTCCACCTAAACGTTGAGAAACGAAGATTGACTGTAGGGAAAGACGTCTGATAATAATTTAATCAATTAAATTGAATTGCATTTAACAATGCTGAATATATTTTAAACTTTCGTTTTATTGTCATCGATTCAGTACGCCTTATAACCACCTTTCCTATTGTGTAGAAATATCTCTTTGATTCCACGTGCGTTTAAAACAGGATTACTTACCAATTTAATTGAACATTGTTTTCATTAGAAAAGTCATGTGTCTCATATCTACGATAATAATAAGTATGATACCCACAGAGTGTTGATGGTTAAACAGTTCAGTTGTCACGGCTAGTTCAATTCCCCAAGTAGCCAATTTCAAGTCTAGTGCAGCAATGTTAGTGGAATGCTGCTAGATGCGTACTAAAATCACCCGGAAATGACACGACATTAGAAACCTGCTCCCTTTCGCGACAAACCAAGCAACCCATTCTGTGTAACAAATTGTGTATGGAATTACTAACTCAGCTTGAAATAGGCTCTGGCAATCCCCGTCTTGGCATCCCTGATGTAGTTAGGGGGGTATAGTAGATCTGGGCCTTTAAACATAGCCCCAGCAGTCACGTTCAGCTTGTTGAGTTTTTGGCGGTTTGTCCACACTTTGACCTCCTCTGTCTTGCCTGTTGCATCCGCTATAAATCCAAAGATCTCTCTCTTTGTATCACCGTCATATCCCCAGTAGGAAAACTGTGCCGTCATCTGTGTGACCTCCGGCGTTTGGTTATCATCCACTGTTATGTCAAATGGAATAAATTAAACATTAATGTCCTCATGTATTATTGGTTGGTTGGTTTGTTGTTTACACCGCACTCAGTAATAATCCTGCTTATTTATGTGGCAGATGTTTGTAAATTATCGAGCCTGGATGAGACAATCGTGTGATCAACAGCATGAGCATCCATTTACACAATGAGGATACGACCACCCAGTCCCTTTAGTCGCCCCTTACGACAAGCATGGGTTACTGAAGACCAATTCTAAACCGGATCTTCACGGGTCACCTTATGTTTTACTAGTTTGGTAATTAACACTATGTCCTAAGATGTATTTTCCCACATGGGTACAATATGTGAAGCCCATTTCTGGTGTCCCCCGCCGTGATATTACTGGAATATTCCTAAAAGCGGCGTCAAACAAACTCACTCACTTTAAGGTGAACTGAGGTGAAATGGGGTTTAACGTCGTACTTAAGATTATTTCGCTCATATGATGACTTGCATGCGTGTGTATGTGTGGTTGCTTGTACTAGCCCAGACTTAAGCTAGTTTTATAGAGATAGCTCACTGAGATACCATGCTGCAGTTAAGTATGAATACCCACCCAGATACATTACACTGCTTCCGAGCCGACAAGTCCTTGTTATACCCATTAATGCTGAGCGCTAGACAGGAACCAACAAGTACCATATTTTAACGTATTTTGGTATGACGCGGTCGGGGATCGAACCCGCGACCTTCCGCTCTCCGGGCGGACGTTCTAACCACTACACCACGGAGGCGGACTCTCTCTGAGGTGTAAATCATGGAAGAGAAAATGATTGCAATTGCTTCCCTTTAGATCGAGTAAAACTGACAAAGACACTTTGTCCTATAATTGCAAATGCGCAAATTCAGTTAAAGCAAAGAATACAACTCAATTTCCACATCATTTCTGCTAAGAGTTGAGCCCATTATGACATTCCGACCATATGAAATGATTCTTAGTAGTATGTGATTTTAAATGTGACTACAGAATGGTAATGATACGAAGTGTTCACATATGCGTGTCCTGCCGCACCTGTAACGTCACCGGTCATAAACACAAGCAAAGGCAAATCAATCGTTCAAGAAAACAAACACGAGACCATCTGGTACAAGTCAAAATATCAAATTATCAGGCAAATATCACGGGTACGAAAACCTTCGCTGTTCAGTTAGTCCAAGTACAATTAAAATGCATAAGGGCTCGTGAAATTATGAGAGATAATGACTTGCCACATATGTCTGTCTATTCTTTAACTTGACAGCATTTGTAAATTTAAAGGTTTATTTTAAAGCAGCAGTTATAGTTATATTGTGGGAGAAACCGTAAGGTTCACTACTTACGGTGATTACAATATTGATTACTGAAGTCACGCATGCAGTTGCACACCACGCTCAAACCGTTGCGTTGACAGTCTCCAGGGTAGCAGGGCCGTTCACGGTTACAATCGACTGAAAATATCAACAGTTCATGGCACCGTCTTACATTAATCAGATAGTGAAAAGTGAAGATATGTACATTTATACAGTTACCTTATATAAATAACGAATAATATTATCAATCGCTTCACCTGTGTCATAGAGACGCTTATGCAAATCCTCAGTTTGCCGAATTGACATTAATATTTTTAGGTCATGGCACACCAGTCGACCCTCCTTCCCATTTACAACAGTAACACGTGACATAAGAGTCGACAGCCTTCCCGCTGACAATAACAATACATGGCACGCCAGTCGACCCTCCTTCCCGTTCACAAGAGCAACACCTGACCTCCTAGTCTACCCTCATACCAGATCACAATAACAACACGTGACACCTGAGTCGACCCTACTTCATGTTTACAATAGCAACACGTGGCGCCTTAGTCGATCCCCTTTCGTGTTCACAATAGCAACACGTGACATAATAGTCGACCCCTCACCCGTTCCCAATAGCAACACGTGCTGCCCCAACACGACCCTTTTTCTGATTCAGGATAACAACACGTGACATCCCGGTAAACCCTACCTAACGTTCACAATAGCAACACGTGACATCCTAGTCGATCCTACTTCCCGTTCACAAGAGTAACACGTGACATCCTACGTGGCCCTACTTCATGTTCACAAGAGCAACACAATAGCTGTTTGCTATTTTGAAAGGGATGTAGGGTCGACTAGGATGTCACGTGTTGCTGTTGTGAATGGGAAGTAGGGTCGGCTATGATGTCACGTGTTGCTGTTGTGAATGGGATGTAGGGTCGACTAGAAAGTCACGTGTTTCTATTGTAAATGGGAAGAAGAGTCGACTATGATGTCACGTGTTTCTCTTGTGAACGGGAAGTAGGGTCGACTAGGATGTCACGTGTTGCTCTTGTGAACGAGAAGTAGGGTCGACTAGGAAGTCACGTGTTGCTATTGTGAACGGAATGTGCGGTTGACCAGGATGTCACGTGTTGTCATCCTGAATGAGAAGGGTCGTGTAGGGCGTCACGTGTTTCTATTTTCTATTTCACCATAGTCGATCTTCTTTCTGGTTCACAATAGCAATATGCGACATCCTAGTCGACCATCCTTCCCTTCACAATAGCAACACATGACGCTTTATACGACAGGATAACAACACTTGAGATCCAGGTCGACCATCCTTCCTGTTCACAATAGAACACGTGACATCCTAGTCGACCATCCTTCCCGTTCACAATAGAACACGTGACATCCTAGTCTACCATCCTTCCCGTTTAGAATAGAAACACGTGACATCCTAGTCGACCATCCTTCCCGTTCACAATAGAACATGTAATATCCTAGTCGACCATCCTTCCCGTTCACAAAAGAACACCTGACACCCTAGTCGACAATCCTTCCCATTCACAATAGAACATGAGTAGTATACACAATGGTGGAACTGGATCAGGTACTTCCCCAAGGACTCAAATAAGTCCCTAATCCAGTTTCACCATTGTGTATACTACTACTGAGGTGCAAGCCAAATTTGATGAAAATCGGTCAAATAGTTTCTGAAATATTGACTTTTAAGTAAGCATGGCGTTAGTCAGGAAAATGTCAAACACAATGGCACAATGTCCAACTTTTTGTCGTAATCAAGTCTTAATGAATGTAATGAAGTCATTGAGAGTGTTCCCAATGCAATTTTGCTATAGCGTAACTATCTGCCGAGATGCATGCAAGATTTCACGAAAATCGGTCAAATAGTTTAGGAAATAATCACTTTTTAGTGAGCATCGCGTTGGTCTGGCGAAAGGCTAACAATCCAACGTATTGTCGTACTTGTTATATATTATCGAGGCGAGAGGTGTTTTAAGCCGAATGAAACGCAGCTCTCGGCAGTTCCCCCGAGCTGCCTTGCTACCATCTCATTAGGAAGTACTTGTCGCGATGTGTGAGCTGTCTGAAGGTGAATGTAACCAAGGTCTCAGCAGTCATCACCTCGCTACCGTCTCGGGGGTTGCCCTGAGCGAGCGCCGTGGACGAGTATAATTGTGTGTGTGCATGTGTCTCGGCTCGGCTATGATGATGCACGGCCGGCTGACTAGCGAGGCTACAGATATCTGAAGGTGAATGAAACGCATCTCTCGGCAGTTCCCCCGGGTCGCCGAGCTGCCGACTCGGTATCACCGAGCGAGCGCTGTGAGCCAGTCGCAGTGTGTGTGAGTCTTGGCTCGGCTTGTACAGCCGACCGGCTGGCTTGCTGGCTGGCTGGCTACGTTATGTTTATTTCCACTAAATCATACCGCAGCTCTCGGCAGTCCCCTCGGGTCGCCTCGCTGCCGTCTGGGTAGTACCGAGCGAGTGCTGTGGGCGAGTCGCAGTGTGTGTTTGTGTGTGTGTCTCGGCTCGGCCATTATTCACAATGTGCAGCTCGCTGTAGAGCTGGCTGCCTGTTGGCTACATTATGTAATGATAGTTTTGGACCAGATTCCTCAATTTTACGATCCATTGCTCATGTGGGAGTAAAAATATGGTTAGAATGATGGTGGGTCGTCTCTCTCTATTGACAGTCGTACAGCTTATATCGATAAGTAGCTTTCATTTGCAAGTGCTATCAGCGTCCTCCGAATGTAATGGTAACAGAGCTAGGCTCACTATCCTAAGTTCCAGCATTCGAATCACACTTTGAGCAGAAACGTTTGCGACTTGGATGCCCTATTCAGACTGTATAGTCACCACGGCTCTGATGTTAAAATTAAAAGGGGTGTTTGTGAGAGACGAATTTAGGCTTTGAAATTGATGGCTGATAACACGAGAAAATACAACTCTGACATATTGTTGCGTTAACTTTGCGTCTATAGCCACATAGCATACCGCAACCTTAATAGCACACACACAGAGAAATAATCATGAGAACTATATCATACAGTGGGCGATCGAAAAAGGACTGTGTCATGAGGTACGATCATCAACTCCTCTCTGACGAAAGCTCTCGGCGGTCCGTCTTTCAAGTAGTACAAGTTCGGTTCGTTGTCTTTGATGTCGACCAGGTCTACGTTGTACGTTTTCATGGACCATATCAGATCGGTGGTGCGTTTTCTGTTGTCTCCCTCGTATTCTCCCAGCTGGTACAAGTACCTAACGCTGACCCAGTCCGGTAATTGTTTCTCTGTTATATCGCGACGTCCTGCTGCCGATGTCGATTCGACAGATTTCATTTTGATGGCTTCGACGGGTCTCTTGCCGACAAGTCTGGTGACTTCATTGTTGATGGCATCCACCACTCTAGGCAAGCGTATGACCCATTCCGTGTTTCTGTTTTGGGGATCCATTAAATCCTGCGAGTACTGATGTGAGAACAGGCGTTCGGCTAAGGTGGGATTGCATCTCTCGACTATGGCTTGGCTTCGGTGAGCTCCTGCCATGCCTCGTCTCACCTGGACAGCAGTTGTGACACGGCTCCCATGAACTCGCATCCGGGATCGATTTGCAATCTGGCAGGCCAGGTCAATCGACTGCATTTGTAGATGCATTCTAAGGCTTTGGCGACTTTGTTCGAATCTTTTGTCATCAACGGTTCGGCTTCCTTGTAGCGACTGGTGATGTTGACGACTGTCAGGGCGTACTTGTAGGTTTTGCCGCTCACCCTGTCGTGAGGTAGAAACAGGAGGTCGGCTTGGTGAACGCGATTCAGCGTCAAAATGCCAAATTTTCTTCTCGGGATGTACCGAGGCGCCGGCAGGTAAACTTGCCAGATAGCTTGTTTTTTTAAGCCAAGCTATGGCGATGTCTTCCGAGACTCTAGCGCCTTTGGTGAGTTTCAGGATGGCGTCCACACCTTTCCAGTACCGGCGTGGGCTGTAATACATTTTCTCCATGATGTATGTATTGCGTGCGTTTTAATTATTTAATATGTGCGTGTGTCCATACGCGTAAGTTGTGACGTCCTCGATGGCGATCCATCATTTCGTGTCCATGGGAGACAGCGACATCTTGTTGATGTGACTTTTGTTCATGTGTAGTGCTGCCAAGTTGTCATTGAATATTTTACTTCGATTGAACCTCAGGCTGGCTATGACTAGCTTCACGTTCTCGAGTTTTTTTCAAATTTTCCATTGTTTTGCCGAACACCGAGTTGTCTTTGAGCTTGTACAAGTTTTTCTCGAAATCGCTCGTGACCAGCTTTCGTAAATCCGTGTTCATTCTGGTGTAGGGCTTCATCCAAGGACTTTGATCGAACTCGAGCACCCTGTGTATTTTCATGAGCTTCATTCCCAGTGACAAGTACAGCTGCAGGTTGCGATAGTGAACGATGTATTTTGTCTTGTTTGTCTTGTCAAGTTCGTTACGAGTTTTTTTTTTACGTATTCACTTTATTGTTTCCCAGCAAGTTTCGTTGATATTCAGACATCCAGTCCGGGTTCACCATCAATCGTTCAGGACCTAGCGGATAGCTGTTGTGTGATTCGTGTAGTTCTTCGGGATAGTCCAAGTCCACTTCGAGCACGTAGCCTTTGTTCGAATCCGGAGCGATGCTATTCACGTCAATTATCTTGGGCGAGGAGACCCAATTGAATTGCCCGGTGGGGAGATACTGACTCATGGCCTAGCTGTACGGGTTGTTGGCATCGACATAGAGTATGTGTTTGGTCGGTTTGCCGGGGTCATGACCTGGAACGTACTTGTTGTTGCCTTTGTCATATCGTTTGGAGGAGATGGAAATCCCACCTCGCAAGCCTTTCTTCACGAACAGGTGCATGTCGTAATCCGTTAGCAGTTTCAGCTTCACGTTGGCCTTTCTCAACAAGGCGTCCCAAGAGAGACCGGGGTCCAGGCCGTACTGTTTCGAGCACATTTTTTTTTTTAATATCTCAAACACGTTGGCCAGCAGGAGCACGTCGATTTTCAAGTACAGGTCGTGGTAATCGCCAAAATTCTTGCTGCCAAATTTGTCCCACACGTTAATCGCGTGCGCGTAATCATCCTGAGAGATATTGGAATTGGTCAAGTTGCTGTAAAAG